CAATTAGAATTTTAAAACATACAAGTAAGGAGTAATGAAGCTAAACAAATAAGGCATTGAATTGTATAAACAAACTTCGTTAGGTAAGACAAGAATAATAGGTGGAATTAGTGAATCAAGTTGGCGTTCTGCTGATCACGTTTGGAAACTTTGTAATTTTGGATGAATTACAGCTATTCATTAATTAATTAGTATTGCTTTAAGATAAATATTGCACATTATGTGTTATAATGTTCTTTGTAGTAAATAAAATAGATTTATTTGGACTAAAAAGTCGTATTTCGATACTAAGACGCCCTATCTATATGTATATGATCTAGATAGGCTAATATGTATTAAATTATAAAATTTAGTATAAATCTATTTACCAATTTTTCTAAAAATATGTAATAAATAGGCAAAGATTTCAATAGTACAGATTAGATAGATAATAATAAAATTGTGGTGATATATGTACTGAAACAATTGGAATGTTTCGTGATTTATAATGAAAACAATTTGGTATAAAACTGTGTTGTAATTGATTGATGTATCTCTATATTAGTGTATATTTTTTGAGATATTATGATTTATAGTTCATGCCATATTAAATAATGGTTTATCGCTGATAGGTATTATTATATTAGTGTCAACTACAAGTAGGTTATAAACAAGTGGCATGTACTTATATTCTTTAAATTTAATTATTATGTTTTAATTATATTTTGATAATACTAGTAATTATTTACTAATTAATAACATACAATTATAACGGTATTAGCAGTTTCTATTACAGTAAAATATCATATCGATAATAAAATTTCTATTAGCGATTTGTTTCTTGTGGTTTCGGTATATATTTTCAAATTGAACACTGATACATTTATTATGGTATCAATTTAATCTTTATGTAATCCAGGACATAACAAATACATACAATACAGAAATAAATTAATTTTGCTCATAAAAAAAAAAAAAAACACCAACTTCAATTGTAACAAAACATAGGAGATGTTTCATGGACCTTGATAGATTTATAATAATATTTGATGGTCGAGGAATGGAAAATATCACCAAAGCCTAACTGCGGTTACCAATTCGCCTTCCAAGCGTAACAACTATAGGCAGAACCCCCTAAGAGGGACACCTATAGTCAGCAATGGACAATTAACGGCATATATGGCGATATTTGAACTTAGAACTCGGAATAGTATATCTATGAGTAAATTGTGCTCCGTAGCTACCAGTATTACGCTATGTGAAAAAAAAGGGCGTTATCAATTGCAAAAATAATTATGTAAATAGGTACGACGTAATCGCGTCGCCAATTCTGAGCCGATCTGATGTCGACATTCCTATAAAAAATATAGACGAACTAGATTTTACTCACGACTTCGTCCGCGTGATCGGGATATGTTCGTTTACTGACCAGGATAAGAATAGCTTATTATATCCTCCTCCATCCCTTGTAGTACGTGTATATGTAATTTCATAGTGACTAGTTAAGGTCTTATGCCCTAAGAAGTAACAATCAAACAAACTACCAGAGGGAAACTTTGTACAAAAGTCGATTGCTTGGGTACCTCTGTCCCATTCGTGTTTCTACCGTGAAGCAGTTGTGTTTACATGGCTGTGTTTCGGTTTGAAGGGTGGGATATGGTGTGAATTTACAGGGTACAGAGGAATAACATCTGAGTCCTCAGGAATGGCAACGCATGTGGGGTATCATGGGCGAAACAGTATACACTGTTATGTATACATAGTATATACTGTTATGTCCATGGTACTGCTCATGTCTATAGGTGACGGTTACCACTTTCCATCAGGTGGGCCGTCAGCTTGTTTGCCATTCTAAGTTGTATAAAAAAAAAAAACTTATTAAGATATTTTTAATATTAGTAAGGATAAAGAACCTCTTACCTTTGAAAATCCCTTAAAATGTATGCGATTTACGATAATTATTTCGTTTAACGTAGTAGAAATAGACAAACGAGTGTCGGAAATTTATGTGAAACAGATATGAAAATATGATACACTGTAACAACGTATCGCATATTCATAATAACAACGCTACGTGAGGTCGTGTGCTACATGTATTCATGCCCGGTACGCTGAACTCTGTTAAAATGTTTGTTTGAGGAAATGGGACGAAAGCCCTCGTAGATTCCTTTGGTGAACGTGCCAGAAAATTCATAAGTATGTTTAGTTTAGCAGAAAAAGAAAGAAAGAAAAAAATCTTGACTTAACTATCATGGGAACAACAAGTTAGAGTAAAAATTTTGTTCCATAAAATGTAAAAATAATTTTAATTGTGATAAAATTACTTTGGAATCAATATGACAATGAACCCTAGTGATTGCGCAAAAATTATAAAAATCGATTACAAAAAATAGGGGTCACAAAAAATCTTGAAGTTTATAATTAAATTTAAAATGAATCGCAGATTGTGACATTTCAGAAGAGGTTCTTTGATTTAATACTCGTAACTCTACAAGTCAAGTAAAGTCATTCAGATTACGTAATATGAAATTTTCCAACCGATTAACTGGTCAAAAGTGAATTATTTCGCTACTATGGCCGGAATAAGTAAAAGTTGCGTGTCCATTATTTGCGCCATTACCCCACGGTTGATCAAGATCTATTAGTTAAGTAACTATTTGTAGTCGCAACTTATAGTTCGTACAATACAATTGGGGCTATTATGAATTTATAATAATATATTTTGATAAAAATAATTGTATGACATGTATATGAATATGTGTATATCACTAGAGGGAGACACGAACTTTGTACAAAAGTCGTTTGCTTGGATACTTCTGTCCCATTCGTGTTTCTTCCGTGAAGCAATTGTGTTTGCATGGCTGTTTTGGTTTGAAAGGTGGGATATGGCAGTGAATTTACTGGGTATAGAGGAATACAACCTGAGTCCTCAGGAATGGCAATGCATGAGGGGTATCATGGGCGAAACAGTACACTTTGTTATGTCCATGGTGCTGCTCATGTTTATAGGCGACGGTTACGGTTAGATAGGTGGGCCGTCAGCTTGTTTGCCAATCTAAGTAGCATAAAAAAACATAAACGTGTTAGTAGTAAAGAACAAGAGCATTTTCTAAAGCTCATCATTAGATTATAAATAAACTGCCAGTCCACTACGATAGAAATCAGTGAAGATGAATCATTAATATAGCAAGAATTAAGTTTATAAAGTATGTAGGTATATGTGACAATATAAACATTGAGAACTATGCAATAGACAGAAAATGTCAAAGAGTGCGAGTGAGATAGAAACCTGGTAGAAAATCGGCAAAGATGGATAAGGATTATAGGATCGTAATCCTATGTTGGCCAATGTTGCATTATGCTCTTTGCCAGTTCTGTGACGTCATGCCACCGAAGCTACGTTACATTCTGTATTTATTGTACATGTGATATCTCACGTGTCCAAACTTTAATACTGAATGATTGTTAGTATTAGTCAATATATTGAAATAAGGTTCAGTTTGATTAAGTATAATACGGATAGCAAACGTTGCACACTAGTTTGGATATTGGTGTCACATGTGTAAAGAAATAAATGATATATAAAAAACAAAAAATCATTCATTGCCACTTTTGTTATACTATAAGAAATACTAGATGATTACTAATTTTGTATTTGTTTAGGTATTATAAAAAATGCTGCGCTAAGTATAAAGGCTTTTAATTTTCCATAAAGTTAAATAAAAAAAATAATAAAACTAAGAAATAAATATTAAGAAACCTACTTACACAAATAAAGTCATTTCAGCATTACATTTTAAATGAAAAATATCTATTGTACCAGAAGACAAAGACGAGGATGATATATTTTCTACATTGCGAGTGAGAGGTACGGACGAATCCCGACAACTCCTAGGGGAGATGAGATAGATTGCCATTGCGGAATGCTCCTCCGGCGAGACAAGTTAGAGCCACAGCTATTTGTCTTGATACTGTATGAGGATAAAAACTGTCATAGCTCTTGTAAGATGTACACTGGTAACAATAGCGAGCATGCATTCTATCATAGCTAATTCATGGACAGTTTGCCACCTACATGGTGTCTCCGGTTACGTTGTATGAACCGAACGACGCGGGTGGTACGCTGAATATAAACTCGCGGTAAATGGAGTATGGTTACTAGAGTTCCATTGTCTCACCATTACGATACAGACGTATATCTCGTCATAATAATAAGAAATAAGGTGTTTAATTATAATTTCAATATAATGAGGATAATTGAAACCATATCTTGTAAAGATGAATATTGTAAAAATGTAATATGATTAAAGGGAGATCTTAAGGGAATGCGAGACTTATTAGTATTTATTGAGCTAAGGAAAAATGTGGTTAAAATATCATGAGGAAATAAGTAAAGAATTTATAAAATGAAGGACGTATCATATACATAAATGTATGTATATACATATATAAGATATATACATATCTGCCTACGTCAATTGATTCATATTGTTTGAAATATGTATAGATAGAGTTTATTTTTATTTTCTATTGCACGGAATGATATCATAAGAACTGTCTTTTGGTATTGTTATCATGTTCATTACTTAACAATAATATTTAAGAACAATTAGTGACCCAATAGTTTTTTTTGTCATTAAATGTTTAATTATACGGTTTCATATAAAGAAACATTCAAAATTTTCAGTCTAATATTAGGTGTACTGAATTTATCGTTTTTGGTTTCTTGTTCTAGTCAAGCACCCATATCCTAAGCTGAATATATTTGAATATGTGATTATGGTGTTGACTATGATGATGCTATTCATAAAATTGATAAATAGGAAGTTCTAAATATACATTTTGTAGGTATGATCTTGATATTAATGTTCTATTTTTTATTAATTGACATAAACAACTTATAATTTAACTTCCTAAATGAGGTCAGCTTATCTTATTAGTAATTAAGTAAAACAGTAAAGGTCAATTTGATTTAAGACACTTATAGTATAACAGGGGAATACGTAGAGCATAAATATTACCTAGTTAGGTCAAGAGCAGCTGGCATTCCAGCCGTCACGAACCACCACGGCGGCAGCGGCGTGTACATCCGCTGCAGCAGCGCACCTCACGTCCCTGCCGCCACAATTCCACCAGATCAGGTCTACCTTATCACCAAATATCACATTTACCACTCACACACGAGACACTCAAAGTGGCAATGTCAACGCAGTGTCATGGTTCAGTGCGCCTTGATTGACCTGATTTACAGATAACGGTGACGCAAAACCGTTTGGCAACTTAGTTTTACGCCCACAACAGCCTCGACGATCCGAGAGCTTTCCGGTTAGTTAAAAAGAAGAAAAAATAATTGTCACCATTGCCAGTTAATTAGTCAATTCAGGAAATAAGTGAAGAAGGAAGCGCTGCCGATCGTGTCGAAATCTAACGCAAAGTTATGGGTGATCCGCTTATCACGACAGCGAAAGACATGAGTAATAAAAATATTAATGCGAAGGGTAGAGTTGAGAGTAGAATTTTTCAAAACTTAGGGGAGTCAATAATTAGAGGGGGCGACTGTGACTGGAGTGAATAAGGGTTAGTTGTAGCGCCAGCGTTGGGGTCGATAAACTTTTTATTTAGGGCCAATAATTTCATTGAGGACGCTGTTGGGATGACTATCGAACGTGCGATTGTGAGGGGTGGGTATGTTGCTTTTCGGGAGGAGACGAACATGTGAGACGATGTTCGCGTGTCGCGAGACGGCGCGAGGCGATCGGCCTGCGTGTAGCTCTATGTCGAACTGACGTCTGACAGCATAGTGGATTGCGAGCGAGCGGAGCGTCGTCGCAGCGCCGCCGCCGTCAGTATCCGCCCCCGCGCCGTTCTCACTGAGCCATGTGCCTAAGTCACCCTATGATAATGTTACCTTACTGTAGCGCTATTTCTCGAACCCATTGTCGAGAGAACATAATCTGAAAAATTCATCTAACATGAAAGGTTTCCAAGACGCTTTAGTAACCTTTTTAGATGTAATGGTTTCTGACATTGTAACGAAATAATGTGGAATTTGATAGGTACTGTACTAAATTTGTCGTTGTACAAGTTATTCAAAAGATAAAGGAAGACTTGTGCGTGATCCATTATTAAACTATCCTTATTATAAAAAGTTTCAGTGGTCGTTAGTTTCACTTTGACAACAAAAATTTTGGGTTGGTTTGAAAATATGTACTGTATAGTGATAGATAAATGTTATGAGAATTAAAAAAAAAATGGTCTGATGTTTTGCAAAAGCATCATCGTAATATAGTTCAATATCAAATAAAATACTAAATGTAATTTATATGTTTCATGATCGGAGAATAGCCGAAAGACCGAAAGTTAAGATATATAAAGTTAGAGGAATAATACCCGATTCCTCAGGAATGGCAACGCCTGGGGGGTATTATGATATATAGAACTGCTTATGTCGACGGGTACCACTTTCCATCAGGTGGGCCGTCAGCTTGTTTGCCATTCTAAGTAGTATAAAAAAAGGAAATGTATTTATTTAAACTGGAGTTTTAAGACTATTTACTTTCTATAACTCACAAATGATCTATTAAATGAAATATGACTCCTAAATCGATTTATTGTTGGCACTTAAGTCTATTTACAATAATTAATAACTGTCGCGGGTACTACACTGAGTAAGTCAAGGATGTTATTGTTAAGATGCTAAGCTTGTCGTGTTACACGTTAAAGCATTGTTGTAATGAAGAAAAATAACTTAGTATAATGAGAATATATATACAAATTGCAAAATACATAAAATATAAGCATTATTCTTGACTTCGTCCGCGGGATTGCAACATGATCACTGACTGGGGTAAAAAGTATCTTATGTCTTTCCTCATCCTCAAATAGCAGGTGTATATCAAATTTTAAAAATGAAGGCGCTATGAGTGCTCAAACTAACAAACTCAATGTCATACTTATAATATTAATAAGGATAATAGGTTTAACAATGGAGCGAATAATGCTGAGATAGTAATGTCATAGTTTTATTGCATCAACCGAGATCCAAGATGTATTTTTAAATTAATTCTTGGTAGAAGAGAAATAGTAGTTTTTATAATTTTAGTTACAAAAATATCGAAAACTGCCCTTTTATAGAACTTATTATATTGCCTAAGGATAAAGGTAATTTTTCTTTATTAGGTTGTAAATACCGCTTCATTTTTTAGTCCGGTATTTTACTAAAATTAATTTTGTTTAAGTAGATTTCATTTACGATACTTAGAATTTTATATAGGCTGCGATATAGTCATACAAAACTCTACTTCCATTAAATTGACTAAATATATGAGATTTTTTTTCTAATTTACAATTTACAAATGATCCAAGGCAATACCCATAGTACCTTTTATACTGAAATAATTAAACGAATCTCTTTATATAGAGTTACGAGCATACAAGTGAAATCAAGTGTAAAATTGATTAATTCAGTGTCTATGTGTTAGAAGAAAACGTAAACTGATTGAATGAATGAAATCCCAAGCATTTAGAATGTTAAAATAATACTGCGATTAGTGGATAAAGTAACTTGTCTGACTTTATATAACGAAGTGCCCGTAGCAACTATTTACAATTCTTAATATAGCCAGGATTTCTTTTTTAAATAAAAAAAAAAAAAAAAAAACAGTATTTAGAAATGTTGAAAGTGCTCAACAAGTCTGAATATTGTTGCCCTCAGTTGCATTGTAATAAATATCAGTCTTAGTGATCAAATAATCTGTCTTATATAGCAAGATCGGTAAAACATCGGCGACTCTTCTTATAATAATTTATCTATGGGTCGCGTTACGGTTATCACAACACCATCAGATGTATTGCTACTTTGTTGATCTTTCCTCTTTGTTGGCATAGATTTGTTTCAAAGACTATTCGTGTTGTAATTTTATTTATTTTTATGCGGCCTTAGAAAGATGTAGATTTCTATAATTCTATCTGTAATAAATTTATTTCCTTATCGGCTCCATATTAATTATTATAACTTAAGATGCTGTGCATTTGCAGAGCAAAATGTTAAATTAATAACATTAATAGCATATTGCCCCGGCTTCGTACAGGTAGATCGGCAGATCTCTAAAGTTTTTTGAAAATAATATACAGCCCGTTTTATTTACTGATAATTTAGCTTTCTATAGATGAAAGAATAATCTATTACAAATAAAAAATATTTCTCATTATAATATTAGTTTAGATATAATGGCATAGGTATTGATAATAATATGTGTAGTATTCATAAGGGAAAAGTGGCATAAAGAAATTACCTTATAGGTAATAAATTTTAGTTTAAATGTTTTTAAATAATTGGAAACCTACGTTAATGTGCGTTACTGATGCGTGGTGTATCTATGTGTGTTGCGACCTTAGTACTTACGACTAAGTGGTTACACAAGGTGAAATTTTGTACGAGTGAATGGCGCTACAAAATAAGGATGATAGAGGACATGCGACCCAAGAAACCTTGGTCGCGTCCCCACAATACTCTTGCGCAATACAAATAATATATGGCAGTCAGTTCGATTAAACATTAAGATTGTATAGGTAAAAAAAAAAAAAATAGACGTAGTCGGCTGATTGTTCATTTGGTTTTCAAATGATCGCGTATTTCACTCATACATAAATGAAGTAAGCAATAAATCTCAAATCGGAAATAATTTAGAACGTATATATAATGTTTATCTTAAATTAATCGGACAGATTGAAATTTCAATGATCATGCTAATTTATTTCTAAAAATTAATATTGCAAATATCGACTATAGGATAAATGACATTTAAAATCACGATTTTCCATTTTTGTCTGAAACATATTTACTAATTTAAGACAGAGAATGTTAAGAATCGGCTCCATCATATTATCATATGTTAAGCAACTTTAAAAAGGTTCTTAATAACAGCTGATTTTTTTATTTATTTTGCCTATATATTGAATTATTCGTGTTAGTGACAGAGGAGTAAACCCTATCTGGGTTTACTTCTCTGTGACTAACACATAAAGCGGTAATACCCCTTCCACATTATAATTACATATATATAATTCACTTTAAAATAATTTATTTTAAACATTTAAGGTGTTTGATAATATCATTAAATAATTAAATTATAATTTATATTCACAAATCACTTTTAATTTGAATAAAACTATGTTAGTAATTTAATGATTGAAAAAACGTAACTATTGATCAGGAAATAATTCTCATTCCTATGAATGTTGCTGTAAAATCATAAAGATTAATTTTAGAGCTTTAATGAACAGCAGTAAGATTCAAATTTAGTCACTTTAATATTTTGGAATGGGTCTGTTAAGAAAATCTTGGTGATTCAACGTAGGTATACATCTTCACAACCTCGACTGTTGTAGCCTTCAAGACTACTTACAGAGGCAACATTGCGAAAGTTGACAACCAAGTACGTGAGCAGATTTTAGAGAATCCTCGCTCTTATTGTATTATCGTTTTGCATTTCTATTTTCCATTCTCGTGTGAAACTATTATGTATATATAAATACATTTTAGAATTTGTCGGTTTAATGTGGGGTGTCGTCGAAACAGAATGAAATTAACAAACGGCGACCTCCGTGCTTTATGAAAATGAAGTCGATAATTATTAGTTTAATTATTTCTTTGCAAATAGACAGAAATTTGTCTACGCATCTGTTGGAGAATGGCAAGGTTAGGTACGTGTAACACTAGAAGAGTATATATCTCTGTCTATAAAATATATATCCAAAGGCACTCGTTTTGAAATGCAATGTGTGGATGCAATCCAGCTGTGCGGCGGGAGGAATAATGATGGTAGACACATACAGCAAGTGGAATCTAGTATTGCAGTCTGTACACACTCCTCCAAATGCATCATATAGAATACAGTATGCAACGCCGTACCTATATTAAAGTTTTTGGAGATAAGTTTTTAATAGCAAATTATTGTTGACTAGTCTTGTTACTTGCTGCTCCACCGAGCGACGTATGTACCACATACCAAGATAAACATTAATTCATGTGTCGCGTTTATGCATGTAAAATTAGCTCCGAATTCGGTTGAGTTCTGAATTACATTCAACGTGAAATAGAATTTTACCATAGCTAGAAGTGGATTCCTGGCAGCTGTATTGCATGATTCGATGTAGGAATCAAAGTTTAGCAGCATAAGGTATTCGCATATTTGGCGATTGGTGAAGGCACATTCCAGAAATTTAGAGTTAGATGGAAGAGAATATGCTTTGGGAAACAGACTTGTTCATCATATACATACTCGTATGTGCTAAGAAAGTTGGCTATAGAAATCTAAACGTATTATTTTCAGCAATAAGGCCGCTTTATTGTATTGATATAAGTTTATCTATTGCTTGTTCTTTTATTCCCTTTGTATAATGATAATATATTCGTAGTAATTAATTATTATACAGGCATTGATGTTTGTACATGAATGAATAAATTAGGTTAGCAAACAAGGAAAATAAGTACAACGGCAGCCGTCGTCATCATAGACATGATTAAATACACTGTAACACTATACAGTATACTACGTAGGTTCGCTGCCATATCCCACCCTTAAAATACAACCATGTAAGCACAGCTGCATGGTAGTAGCACAAATAATATAGGTACTATTATCAGTAGTAACACTAGACAAAGAAACATGCATGTCGGCGAATTTTTGTATTCTGATAAATGAATGACGTACAAGCAAGCATAGGTATGCACTGTTGCTATAACAGCAGCAATGTTATTAAATCATTTGTATAATAAAAAACAAAAACCACTA